TTTACCAACTTGGTTTCATCCTGGTCAGTCCATGGAAATCAAAACCAAGTGAGCTTAAACTAGGTATATAATTGAATTCAGCACCAATCTTTTTAGCTTGATAAGATAATGAGAGAGCACTAATCAAAGCAACAAATGAATGAAGAAGAACCCATTGTCCAGATTTTAATATTAACAATTTGCATTAAAAAAAATCTCTATATTAGTGGGATAGTGAAGGCCTAACCCACTGTGGCTTAAAAACCTGGACTATGATTGGATTTGATGCCTTGATGTAATGGGGAAATTCTTCTCTGACTAGCCATGGTGGGGTGGGGGGAAGGTCTAATGATTCTTGACTTCCATTATTTATCTTTCTCTCTCTCTTTTTTTTCTTTTTCTTTTAAGTTTTGAATCTTTGAATAGCGAATGAATATGTTCAGGTTTGAATCCGTGGTCCTTTGAAGAGCCACATATTTGGATTATTTTAGGCCATGATGCACAAATTGTTGATGGATCACATTTCCTTGCCATTGCTCTGCATTTGACTGAGAAAAGTTGAACCCCGGAAGCATTGACAAGTAAATTTTGGGCCCTACAGCTAGATATGCTTCCTCTGAAATATCCATTAAAAAACTCCCAACTGACTCTGCCCTCTTACCTATATCTATCAATATTCATATTTGTTAAATTGGGAAAACTTTGTCTTTTGAATGTCAAGTTGTCTGACCAGATAGAAAGTAAGCATATCATGTTTCATTCAACCTCAAAGCAGCCAAACTATAAAATGCATGGTCAAACAGAAACTGCCTACATATTTAAGGATTTGATGGCCACCATTGAATACTTAATTTATTTATAAGTCGATGACAGATTAAAGCTTGCAAATCATTTTGAACTTTAGACCAAGACTTTGATTGAAAAATCTATAAACTATATATCTATTTGATCACCATTCACCCATTTCATCGTTTAATTTGAACTTGTCAACATAAATACCGTAAAAAGATAAATTACTAAAATAACATAAAGAAGGGATGCTTTAGATGTGTCTTCTGGTCAGTGCTTCAGGGAAATCGTTGGTGCATTTACAAAGTGCAACCAACTCAATTGGATAAACAACAAATTAAAATAGAAGTTTTCAGCTCATATTCCTTCTTACTCTGAAGAATTGATTCAAGGCAGAAGTTTTTTTTTTTATAGTTCATTTCATACACCTGAAGCAACTTGCATGTTTTGTGTTGGTAGGCCATGCACAGGGATCTAGACCTCTTTTAGAAAAAGATAATAATAATAAGTAGGAAAAGAATAAGTCTTCTATATATAATCTTTGCTTTTTTTTCTTATTAAAATTGCTCGGTGCTGAACAACTCAAATGCAGTTTCATTAGCATATGCCCAGAACTCATGCTTCTTTGAATCAGCACATCACACTTTATATCGGTTCATATAAATAAATCAATAATAATGCATAAAAAAAATCAATATAAAAACTGATGATATTACGATATTCTCATGAATCTAATCTGATTAATTAACTGTTTGGTTACCATTTAATTCCATATTGAAGATCAATATAACAATAATTAATGATGATTGGAGGACTTCATTTTTGGCTGCATTTTCCACCATATATAACTTTGTTGTTATCTGTTCCAAATGTTACATTCATTTTTTTAAGTTATTTGATTTAATGAAATTGTTATAACGTCTAGATCTGGAGATCTATCATTAGACATTGACTTAAGGGAGTCGTTACCAATCTTTTTTATCTAGGTGCGATTGGCCACCTAAGGAATCTGTCCTTTCAGGGAACACCTAAGTTTAAGGGTCCCTAAAAGAATAGGTTCAGGTCTACTAACCAAAACAAGGTTCGAGAGTTCGGTTACGTGTGAGGAAGGTTATAGCACCCTCACAACGTCCATCTAAAGATGGTACTAGCTTGAATTTGTGTTATCCAATGAGCCTTAAAATTTTACCAAGTAATTAATTATTAGAAATTATTCTCAATTGACTCTAATACTTTTAGCAAAAAATTGAGAAAATTCCCTCACCTCAAGAGTATGCAAGAAAAACTACTATTTTACTTGCAGAGGCTCCATCGTCGGATTATTTAACATAAATAAAAAAAATAAAAAAAATAAAAAAAGAAGAAAAGAATGATTGTTCTTGTGCAGAAAAAATTGATACTTTCAACTATTTTCCAAAATTATTCTTTTGAAACTTTAATTTCGAGAAAAATTGATACTTTCAACTTTTCCTCAAAAATTTATTTTTTAAAAATTTATTTTTAAAAAAAATTGATACTTTCAACTTTTCCTCAAAAACCTTTTTTGAAAATTCATTTTTTTAGGAAAATTGATACTTTCAAATTTTTCCGAAAATATTTTTTGAAAACTTTGATTTTCGAGGAAAATTGATACTTTCAACTGTTCCTCAAAAACCTTTTTTTTTTTGAAAATTTATTTTTAAGGAAAATTGATGCTTTCAATTTTTCTCCAAAAATATTTTTTGAAAACTTTGATTTTCGAAGAAAATTGAGACTTTCAACTTTTCCTAAAAAAAAACTTTTTTTTTGAAAATTTATTTTTAAGAAAAAATGATACTTTCAACTTTTTCCCAAAAATATTTTTTTGGATTTTATTTAAAGAAAATAAAATAATAAAACAAAATAAAAGTGAAAATAAAAAAAAAGTAAAACAAAAATAAAAATAAAATAAAGATAAAAAGAACATTAAACAAACCTAATCCAATAATATAAAATAAATAAATTTAAAAAAAAAAACCTGGAGTGGCTCGAAGAAGGGCTTGACTTGGCTCGGCTCAAAGAAGAAAAACGGCTCGGAAAAGCGGCTCGGGACGTCGGCTGGCTCGACTAACGGGCTCGGGGAGGCAGAACAAGCGTGGATCGAAAAGCGGGTCGACGCTCGGATCGGGTCAGGTCGGATCTTGACAAAACGCCCGGATCCTCTAGGTTATTTATCGCAAAAATGACGTCATTTTGAGAGGGTATATAAGGCTGTTTCCTTTGTTTTTTTGGCAGAAACCTTCTCCCATCTCTCTCTCTTCCTTCCTTTTCTCTCCCTTCTCTCTAAAACGATCGAAGAACTCCGGTTGAATATTCACCGGATTCTAAAATTTTTTTGCTGAAATCTAGGTTTTTCGTTGAAAGTTGACCAGAAAGTTGGTCGGTTTCTGGGGATCGTCACCGGAAACTTTAAACTTGATCAGAATTGTCGCCGAAAGATTCAACTTTGGCTAGAAAATTCAATCGAAATCTGAAATTTTCCAAAAATTCTCAGAAAAAAAATTGCAAAAAATTCTCCAAAAATTCTTGCTAATTCCTAGAGCCGTTCTAAACGCACCAAAACCTTCCTAACCTTTAAATCTTCTCTGTATCTCTTTTTCTCTCAACCAGTATCCTTTTTTCTTCTGTTTTTTATGTGTATTCTTCTATTCCAGAGGATCCATTTTTTAGGGATTAATCAGAAGATTTTCTGATCAATCCCAATTCCTCTTGGGATCGGGATTTAATCATTGAATCCAATATGAACTCTGCTGATTGAATCTCAATCCAATTTTTCACCGGATAAACCAAAAAATAAAAATAAAAAAAAAATCAGATGAAAATAAATCAGATAAATCAAAAAAAATTAATAGATAAATTAAAATTAAATAATACATAATACATAACCTGATATACATAAATATTAACAGAAAAAAAATAATAATAAAGATATATACATATTAATAAATAAGTAAATACCTAAGATAAAAATAAAAGAAAAAAATATAATAATAATAATAATAATAATAATAATAATAATAATAATAGAAATAGAATAAAAAAAAAAAAAAAAAACATAGACTTACCTATTTAGACTAGACCTAATTGATCCAGACTTGAACCAAATTGAATGTCTACAGAAATAATTAAGCTAAACTGCAAATCATCAACCTTTGCTTCATGGATACAATTTCCATCAATTTGGTAATAGGATTACTTCAGATAGGAAAACTCCATTATCCCTTGAATAATTTGTTGTTTAATAATGTATCTTCTTTAGCCAAAAACTTCTTTGAAAATAACCATATTTTCCAAGAAAGAAAATTTTGATAAAAATTATTTAAAATAATCAATTTTGTGTTTCCAATTTGAAAAGTTAAAATATTAAGCAATAAAAATTAAAAATAACAAGAATTTGGATTTCAAATATTTAGAAAAATTAGACAAGATTTATGATATGAAAATTGTTTTTTCTGATTTTGTTTTGGACCAAGGCCTGGTTACCTTGAATTATGATATGAAGTCCAAAATACACAGCACGACGGGGCTAGACCACGCACAGCCGTAATCTTAAACAAATTTCCTAAACAACCCAAAAGGCCCATTAATTCCGCCGAGATCTATGATTTCTCGGGCATTTTGTCTTAATATGGTATTGCAAAAAAAATTCTTGTCATTGAGTAAGTGACGCACAATACATCTTTTTCTTGAATCAAATTTGACAATGGAACCCCCGCTGTTAATACTTTCGGTAGTTTGCAAAACTATCATGAGAACTGTTCTTTACCACTAAATTTCATATTCATATATCAACCATACACTCAAAAATTCATAAATGATCGTTTTTCCTTTTTATTTGTCAATTAATTTTAGTAAATCAATTGATTAATTAATTAATCAAGATGCCTAAACATGAACAATCCAAGCATGGGAATACTCTGACAATCAAACCAACAAACATAGACTAAAGCCAAAACAATAAAGAAAAATTACGAAAGGGGAATGACATGAACTCACGTTTACTGTTGCTAGCTTGAAAGTTTCATTAATCAATAGTATCTGATATGATTATTATATATTAAATAAAGATGCCAAAACATGACCAATCAAAAGCCTGTGCCAGTGCTGGGACAATCAAACAACCAACATTACAAAATCCAAAGTAAAATCAAAGAAAAATTACAAAATGAGATCAATCGCATGGTTCCATATTTCACATACATGAATAGCTTGATTAATTAACATTGTCCATAAAAAGAAAATATAAAGATAAATTATTTAATGAGTACAACACCGGGAACACATTAGTTTGTAGCAGATTACTTAGTCATCATCATGACTCAAAGTTCAAGCTGTAGCAGCGTCTGCAACAACATTGGTGAAACATTTATCAGCAAATTCACCTCCAAAAACAATTTCATGAACTGCTATGATAATTATAGGTTATAGGATACTCATTTCTTCGTCAGCAATTTGATACTAATAACGAAGGATGGTCAAAGGATAATGGGAATTTGACCCTACCAATCTTATAGCGGTTTCCTTGTTGGATTTATACTTTGTGTTATTTTTCTAAAGGGTCCCAGTTTCCCGATCATTACTACCCTATCCATGGAAAATGACAGTGAGGACAGCTTCAGCTTCTCTCTTGTCCACTCAACTTGACCTAACCACGCAGAGATGGAGTACATACAACAAGAACCGGCTGCAACCCTCACATATAATACAAGAAGTAGGAATGGAAAGACTGACAGAGAAGCATTTTCCTGTTAGGATATTGACGGTGGCAACTTATGTTCCCACAAAAAAACAATTAGTACCCCCATGTTGGTGCCATGCATCGATCATCCCAAAAGTAAAAAAAAAAAAAAAAAATTTGTGGGTTTAAACTTGTTTAATTCTACGTGATTAGCTAGGTCACATCAAAACTAGTCATGGAAGTGAAACTGATAAGCTTTCTGGATATAGGTTGATAAATTTTGTTGATACACCCTATGATTGGAATTTTGAAGTTCGAGACTCATACAAGGATTTGGGTATTTTGCCCAATTATATTACTTTGGAGGTTACCGTTTGGGCATGTTTCACTATTGAGATTTTGTACGTAAAATTATTTTGCAAGTTCATTAATTATGTACAGTGGATCTGAGTCCGACAAGCTAAATTTTGAGCAGAAACAGTTCTAAAATGTTTGAAAACATACCTGGAGATTGAAGCAGAGAAACTGATTCACCGGCTTCATGTTTCTTGCTAGCAAGAACATCGATTACACTAGGCTTGGACTGCCCGTCCAATTTATTGCTCTTGCCTTCAAGCTCTGGATGGATCTTCCTTTTCAACATCCTCCTCATCTAATAACCAAATAAAAATTTTCAATCAACTAAATTCTGCTCAATATTTAGGCTTTAATTGTTTAAAAATATGGAAATTTTTGCAATCAAATGGTCAAGTTTAATAACCATTTTTTAAGCATATAACTATTGAATTTAAATTTTATTTACCTTCTCATTTTCATCATTTTTACCACGTAAAGCCTTAATCATACATCATAATCCAACTTTAACCGTGGTCAAAATGAAATTAACACAATGGTGAGTGAATATTATATTTATAGGAAGGGGCAGAACATTTTAACACTCACTTGGTGTAGCATTTTGATCGGACGTGAATCCTCTCCAACTTGAGGAATGAGTTTCTTGGCAAAAGAAAGCCCGTTTTTTGTAGGAAGAGAACCCTTTGTGCAAGAATTTGACTCCAATTCAAGAGGGCTCGGCTTCTTTTTCATGTCAGAGTCCTCATTGAAGAGGTCTGCAAGTGTAGTTCTTCTTCTAAGCCTTCCAGAATGGCCCTCAGTGATATCCAAGTCAAACTTGATTGTATGACCAGTAGACCCCGCAACCCCATCAACCATCATTATCACATCAGGTTTTCCATATTTCGTGTGATCATCAACGTCCACGAAACTGTGGTCGAAAGTGCTGAACATCAGTGGGTTCACTTCTTCATCACTATTATTGTCATCATAATCGTCGTTGTCATCTTCTTCATCATCATTGTTATGAGAGTATCGTTCTTCCTCTGCCCCTTCTGCGTCATCGCTTTCCAAGGTTAAGTAGTCTTTTTGTTCACTGAAGGATTTCAAAGGATCAAAACCAAGGGTGCCAATTGTTAAAATGCCATCTCGCCAACCATCCAGCACGTCAACCAGCGCCACTTGTTGGAGTAAAGCTTTTGTATTTGTGTCAATTGCAACGGAATCAGTCTTCTTAACATTTCGAGCCAGCCCATCTGCAAAAAATGGAAGTTTTCTCATGATCAATTCTAAAATGAAAAATTCGAATCTCCAATGAAAAACACTATTCTAGAGAGAATATACTGCTACTACAATATAAAACCGCCGCCAAAATGAATTAAAGAAAACAAGATACTCAAAATTGGACCGTAATAATATAGCAACTTTCTAGAATGCAAGAGATTGGGTACACCCTACAATGGAAATTTGTCACATTCTTAAATTTCCCAAAAGAAATTTTGGTTAGATTACAAAAATTAGCTTTAATAATGTTCTGAAGAAATCAAACCTTTGCGAACGTTATGATGGAACCTCCTCTGCACCCAGTTGAAGATCTATTAAGGAAATTAACATTAAACACGAAAACCCAGAAGAATTCATTAGAAAGGAAATCAGAGTTTTAGTTTCTAGAAAAAGAAGTAGTAACAAATTTATGGGTATGTTCTAATTACCTTCATTTTCTCAGCCAAGTTTTAGTTTGGTGACAAAAATCAATGCAAAAGCTCAAGTGTCAAGCGAATGCAGTGAGGGCGAGTGGGAAAGTTTATGATGTAGAAGAAGAGAAGGAATTAGTTGGTAAAAAGCAATGGGACGATGGCTTAAGGAATTACGATGCACCACGTGGCGAAAGAAGTGGGACCTAGAAAATTAACATGTAGAGTCTAATAGGCCAAATAGCCCCAATTTAATTAAATATTCACGCTAGTAAAAGTATAATCAAATAATTAATCAATCACAAAAAAAATAATAATTTAATATGATTTGATTCAATTGACCTACGCTAATGGATGATAAAAAAAAATCAATTAATTGGAGAGAATGCAATCATATAATTCATATCAATCAGTATTCAATAATCAATACTTATAGATCCTTTTAATTTTTTTTAGTCATATGAAGTACTCCAACTCAAATAAATATATACTTATATACACTTATGCACCCTTACCTATGTAAACCCTCATAGTCTCCTCTAGTTTACTTACAAACATTCACACCACCATACTTATAAGGACCATCTTATTCTCCTCTAATATACTCAAACATACACACTCATAAGGACATTAATCTTCTATAGTCTTTTGAGATGTCTATCTTATAAAACCCTACAATTTTCTTATATATTTTTCTCATATCTAACACTGTAAAGACTTAACATATTTATAAATATACAAACTTCTTTATCAAAATCATTTTTTTCTTATAATTATTCTTTTACAAGTCTTTTTATCTATTAAGTAATATCTAACCAATCTCAAACAAATCTATTATGAGATTTGAGTCACTATTCTCAGCAATCTTCACATTGACTCAAATTTCATCAATCATCAGTCTTTATGTTAGACATACTTAGCTCTACCGACAATGAAAATCTCATAATAATTTTCTCTTATTTATTTGCAAACTTTATGCAAATCAATATTTAAAACACGAACTTAAATTTCTTCATTGAGTCGAGCTCTTTTGGACTTGTCTCTTCCCATAATTTTAACCATGCTTTGATACAACTGTTAGATTAAATAGCCCCAATCTAATTGATTATTCCTGTCAACGAAAGCATAATCAAACTATTAATTAATCACATAAGAGATAATAATTTAACATGGTTCGGTTCAATCGACTTACATTCATAAATAAGAAAAAAGATCAATTAATTGTAAAAAATTGTAAACATACAACTCATATCAATCAGCACTCAAAAATCACTATCCATAGGCGCTTTCAATCTCCTCTAATCCTATGAGTATTCTCAACTCAAACAAACATATACCTATATACACTCATATACTTATAGCTATGTGAACCCTCTCAATCTCCTCTAGTCTACTTACAAACATTTACACCACCATACTTATGTGAACCATATCATTTTCTTCTAGTCTACTCAAACATACACACTTATAAAAACGTTAATTTTTTGTAGTCCTATGAAGTGTCTATCTTTTAAAATCTTACAGCTCTTTTATATTTTTTTTCATGACTAATACTATAACGACTTCACTTATTTATAAGTATACAAACTTGTTTATCAAGAATCATTTTTTTCTTATAATTATTCTCTTACAAATTTTTTTATTCATCAAATAATATGTAACTAATCTCAAATAAATTTATTTTGCGATTTAAGTCACTATCCCGTACAGGATCTTCTACTTGATTGATGTGGGGAAATTCTCGAAATGGCTCTCTCTCTTTTTCACTATCAACTACTCTGTTGCATTTGGCCAGTTTCTTCTTTTGAATATAGAAAAAATGCAGTAGGAAAGGAAGAGAGCAGTGAAGGATAAGGGCTAGTTCCCTCACCTATCTCTACCTAATTTTTGTCCATTCTTTTCATTTAGTAGTATCTAATATCTATAACTATAACTATATATGATACGGTGAGAATGAGACATTATTCATCATTGAGAGTTTTTATGTGCCTATATGCGGTAGGAGTTTTGTTTTTGTTACGCTTAGATAAATAGATAGATAGGCCAGAAGTGCTAGGGAGTCTTAATAACGGTTTTGGGAACAAACAATGTCTTTGGTGTTATATGAATTCTAAGATTATGAATTTTTTACTCTTGTCTATGTACCAAAGATGAAAATGATACAGATTAATTCTATGATGTTGATATCACTCTTGAATTTTGATGAACGTGATCCATGGTTAATTTGGTCCATCATCTAGGTCAGCAACCTTCAAATATTTTTAGATGTACAAAATATTTTCTCACATAAACTTAAATAAACGGGAAATAGTATTCAAGTCTCATTCCATATTTTAACAAGAGTTAATTTTGGTAACTTTAAGTTGAATGAGTACATGAGAAAATCATCAAAAAAAGATTCCAAAGGATAGTGAGATTAGTCATTTCTTTTTCTTTTTCTCACATGGAATCAGGATAAACTTTCCATGGATAGAGGGACTGTGGTACTACCTTTCTTTCTTCTTGTTGTCTATGGATTACCTGTTATCCATTTTCGATATGTTTATCCACTTTCAATATATTAATTTATATTATTATATATCATGCTTATTCATGCATGTGATCTTTCATATTCACAACGAACACGAGAAAAAAAAAATCACTCTACAATCCACATGGACGGCCAAACTCCTGGCATGCCTTCCAAGCCTAAAGAAATTTTATTTATGATTTGTATTATAAAGATCAGTATATTAGCTTATAATGTAAATATTCCATCTCCTTAATCAGGATGGAAAAAATCTTTTATTTATCATAAGAAAAAAAATATTTGGTTTATTAATGGTTAAGAGCATGTATTTCCCGTTCAATAAGTGGATTGAAATTCCCTTTACTCAATCAAAAAAAAAAAAAAAGATGTGAAGTTTCATAATGGTTTGAACAAAAAATATTTGGTGCTCACATAAAAAGAAATGAAAATCGGAGTGAAATGGATTGTTGGTCACGAAAATGTTTAATAAAATTTTTATTTGGTTTTTTATTATAGATAGCCTTTTAATTGTTTCATTTAAATCTCAAATATTAACAAATAACAATTTAGTCATTATATTATTAAAATTTCCTGTAAAATGACAAGAAATACTTATGTAGGATAGATGACATAGTATGAAAGTTGGTCACTTTCTATTTATTTCCATACAGGGTTCTTAACCAAAAAGAGAATTTTTCTATATTGAAATCATTTAATGACTTTAAAGTAGGGATGGCAACGGATCGGGTTGAGACGGATTTTTGCTCACCCCGAATCCGATCCGACTTCAAACATACAAAACTCGAATCCGATCCGATAATTTTTTATAATTTTTTATACTTGAACCCCGATCCGACTCGACATTATATAAAATCATATCCGATCCGATTCGATCTGAAATTAATAAAATATTATTTTTAATATAAATATAAAATTAAATATATATATAAATAATTATAAAATTAAATAAATAATTAAAAAAATTATTTATATATATATCGGGCCAGGTAGGATCGGATTTACCTAAAACCCAATCCCGACTTTTTTTTCATGTCATCCGACCTAATCCGATATCCGATTTTCAAAAAAAAAAATCAATCTTAAAAGATCGAATCGAATCGAAATCCGTTGAGTAAAAATTTTTTTGCTTTCTCTACTTCAAGGTCTAAATATAACAATTAAGTGGGTACATTAATTGCACAAAAGAACATTTTTTAACATATTTTAATTTTTTTTCTCTTGAAATAATTTAAACAAGACCTGATCTAGGTTTTGGATGTGATTACCAAATAATTTGACCAAACGTTGAACATTTTCATTTGAATTAGAGCATAATTCTTATTCACTTCTAAGTACCTTTACATATGGATGAGTTTGAAATTAGCTATAAAAGTAGTTGAGCTTGAATCAATTGGCATATTATTGAAATTAAAATTTAAAAGTTTTAAATTCGAAATAATTTTTCATATAATATACTTTTCAATAAGATAAACAGGAAGATATATGAGTTAAGGATGGATTAAGATCGTAAAAAAAAATTGGCTGGGTTCCTAAGGGCAAATCAGACATTCAGAAGCAGAAAGTTCTATGAAATTGAAAGCTTATCTGGAAAAAAGAAAAAGGATATGCAACAAAGGCTGGGAGAAAAAACTGAACCATAGAAGTCGTGGAAAAAGTCGTCGTTGGTACTGTCATATGACCTTTTGCAGCTTGTCTGGTTCTATCAAAACCTAAAAGCCTTACAATAATCAAAGGTGGCGACCGTGGAATGTAGGCTTTCTGGGTCTTGTTGCTGCCTTAAAGAAAATAAACATCCACATTTCACCTCCCATAGCCGATGCTTTGGATTCTGATTAAAGCAAACTGATTAAAAAATGTTGGGACATATGCCTCTACATAGCCCGGTGGGTCACCTTCGGTCCCTTCTGATTACAACCAAACATTCTTTCGATTCGCAATAAAAGCAAAACTTGGGCGGTACACCAAAACCGACAGAGAAGAAGAAATTTACTTGATCCGCGTTGCTTTGTACTGATGAAGTGGGTAAAAAACTAAAAAAAGCATGCCCAATTGCCCAGCAGCGTTCACTTTATGCATATATACTGAAGTACTCCTGAGTCCCGAGAAGTTCATTTCCAGGAGAAAAATTTGAGCCTTTTTACCTTGCTGTCAACATATATATCTCATTATTGGAGATCAAATGGCACAATCCTGTCTGCTCTTCTTTATTTTCCTATTCCTCCTGACTCGTTTGCTTTATTATTATAGGTCGCCATACATCTTTGAGAATTAATGAGGACCAGACATTCCTGAGAGCTTGATGAACAAAAAAAGACATTACTCAGAGCTAGCACTGTCAACAGATGACATATCTGTTATCTAACGCACATGCACTCAAAGACCACTTTAAAGATTGATAGAATTAGCTCGTAGGCCAAATCTGGTGGATCAAATAAGCATCCCATTGGCTCATTTTTATTGGAGAATTTAGTAGTATCGTCATATTCCAACCAAAATTTAAGCACAAATTTAAAGAGTGTAGGGACATTGTGGGGGTGTTTTGTTTGGGGCATTAGTCCTCTCCCTAAGCAATGAATGAAACCATTCTAACATGTGCAACTGATGATTCGACTCAGCAATCAGTCCAGAATAACAAATAGTAGGATATTTTATAAAATACAAATGATGGGGAGAGCATATATGCTATTGGGTCAATTTTTCTTGTTTTCAGGTCTTACTGAGTTGGTTGGATTCACGAGCTACTTTTAATTTAGTTCTTCCTGCTGAACCTACTGCCACTTCAGTATCAGGGAGCCAATGTATACCGTTGGAATTTGGGTCGATCTCATTTTTTTCCTGAGACACTTATGTTCATTGGTTGACGAACTACTATTAATTTCTTTCCTTCTTCCTGGTGAACCCACTCCATCTCCAAATGGTTCTTTCAACCTTAAAAGTCACGGGATTTTATTCCATTCACGAATCATGATGAAATTAAGGAAGAAAGAGCAATTATTATCGATCCTCTAATAATTCATCTTCTGTAATAGTTTAATAGCATTATTTTGATACGTAAAGTTTATTATAAAGTTGAATATGCTAAAATCTAATTAGAGAAGTAGCATGTTTGTGATCTTTTTAAGAGACACTTGCATATGTCCTACCCAAATCATGTTTGCATTTGCAATTTTTAATCAGCTCTAGTACCCTTACTTTTTTCTAGAAAAAAATCTAGTGTTGTTCAATTTGTTACACCTCAATGCTGCTACCTTAATTATTTGTATTGTATAATGCAATAAAAAATTATTGATTAAATTCATATAAGTGAACTTACAAATTTAGAAATATTTTGAACCAACAAATAATTATCAATTCGGTCGTATGAACAAATAGTTGGAGAATAAGTATTGATCGGCAAATTCCATTTTTACAGAACCTTATAAGCTTTGAAGGAAGGTTTTTATATCATTGTTACCTTGGAAAAAGACAATTAGGTAAATTACTTGGCCTTTTACTAAATGGTAACGGGAAAATGTTACAATTTTTTTTTTTAGTATTTGATGCTGTTAAGAATTAAATTTTAATTATTAAAATTAAAAATTCAATGCTTAAAAAAAAAATACGAAACTGTTAGCAAGAGTTACAATATTTGAAACAACAATTAGTGTGGGAATCATATTTGAAAAAAGATCAAAGACGTTTTTAAAGAAAAAAAAAATAGCAGGCCCGAAATGTTGGATTGAGATGAAGGACTGATAGCGAAATCCAAACTTAAATCAAAATATTTGGGCTCAGCCTGGACATCTCGAACTAAATCTTTAAAGTCTTAGGGATTCAAGCGGGATTTATAGGGCCAAAGATACAGCCCAACAAAAACTACTTCTGAAATTAGTTTTACTCATAGCAGTTGCCTTGGGCCAAGAGATTAAGATCCTTGCCTGTAACTGTATTGTTTTTTTTTAGGCCAATCTACTAGCATTCGTTTGGTGGTATTAAAGATTGTTAAAGAAAAAATGTCTCAAATTGTTTTTTTTTTTTTAATACATTTTTCTTCAATTTTCTTGTCGTCAATTTGTCTGTCGAACTAACAGAGTCCGGAAAATTTGACGGAAAATTCCTGGACAAGGATACTTTGAGTTCCATAATTCAACCCTCGAAGGAAGAGCAAAGGCATAAAAATAAGAAATGCCCTAGAAAAGCATTCCTGGAACTTTTTCAGATTGGTGATGTGAGAAGTATTTTCCATCTTTCATTTTTCTTTTGGAGCAAGTGTCATGGATGGTCCTGTAGATCCGTTGGCAATAGGATAATTTAATACCAAAGTGTAAAAAGCTGAAAGGTCTCTGTCATCATCTTGGATGAAAAGTTTTCCTAATGCGAATTTCAGAAGTTTTCCACATCGTGGTATAAAAACAGAAAAACTTTGGATTTAACGGAGTATAAATTTGGAATATGGGCAGTTGGCAAGAAGTTTTGAAAGAATATATAAAGGCTAATCGGTGAACATCAAACACAATGGTTTTATCCTTAACCTTTATTGTAATCGGAGTTTAGCATATATACTAATAATCCTCAATGCTAAAAGGCCTGCACATGGACCGTCTTCAATTAGGCCCACAAAAAAAGTGGTACTGAAGAATCCGAATCCTTGTGTCCGATAGCAATCACTCATATAACTTCTAAAGCATTATTTATTCTGAAAAAACGTAGGTACTGTAAGTAATTAAAACCCTTTTGATGTTTTACTTTTTCTCTAGCTGTTGTAACCATTGGTCCGTTCCTCAATATCGAATCCATTACCAGTTTATTTTACGTGGAGAGAAAGGTGCACACCAGGGTCATGGTGAGTGCATGAAGAATTGTAGACAATTGAGTTATTAATGCCTTGCACGTTGCTGTTCAGGAATGCTGTAATAGGCATTGTCTTTGATTTGTTGCTCTTGTCCTTCATCTTACGATCACCTTCCTCGCTGCTGCTTCTGTAGCTTTGGGGGTCACTGCCATCCCCCCCAGTTCGAGAAGAAATTACTCTCTTTTGTAGATGATGAGGACTGCCCTGAAAGCCATTTTTATGGGGTGATCGGATTACCTCCATGAAAGCACCTTTGTTTTCACCAGCAATTGTTATGACCCTCGTACCGGCATCCTCCGAGTCCGAAGAAAACTTCTTGCCATGACCTTTCTCCTTTTTCTCACCATCCTTGGACGGTTCTTTCTGTCCATCCAGTGGAATGCTAGGTTTGTGTGTGTCACCAAGATCCTTTTGAGGGGCACCACTAAATAGCCGTTCTTTGAGCTTGTCAAAAGTCTTTTGAACAAGCACAGTCTTTTGCTCTGCCTCAACAGGGATTTTGGGTTCAAGCTCAGCTTGAGCTTTCAACTGGGGAGGTGGGAGAGTTAAAGGAGAAGGTGCTGGAGCAGTTGGTGGTTTGATCTTTGGTGATTGACTAGGAGATTGTATGGCAGGTTTGACTGTTGTTGTTGATGCTTTAGGGCTAGGTACGTGAGTCGTGGTGGTCACAACGGAGTCAGGTTTTTGTGTTGGGGAACTTGTCACTGGTGTTGTAGTTGGGGCTGTCTTGGCTGGAGAAGTTGGCACGGAGGTAGTAGTTGTCACTGGCTTGGCCGGAGAAGATGTTACTGACGCAGTTGTTGCTGCTTTCAGTGGAGAAGTAGTTTGCCCCGCCGCAGCTGCCGTTAAAGTTGGCACTGTCTTCATGGGGGAACTAGGCACTGAAGAAGTTGTGGCACTGACTGGAACCGTTGTGGTAGTTGTAGGTTTTTTATCAGAAGGGGAAGACGGTTGAGAAGTTCTACCAACAGCTACAGGGGATGATGGAACCGAAGAAACACCACCCACAGGTGGTGGAGCATCGGCGGTTGCTTGAGGTTGATTTGGTGGAGGCTGAGCCTGTACTACCGGCCTGAATGTAGGTCGGACAGCGGCTGGTCGTGGCGGGGCTGGTGCGGGTTCAGGGCTTTGACTAGGTGCTTGGGGTGCTGGCCTTGATATGGATCCTAAACGAAACCAGGGACGAGTTGGTGCCGGTTGGTTTGACATAATGCGGTAAGGTTTGAAAAGATTTAAAGATCAAACGCTCAAAAACTAAATGTACTAGATATGATGAAAGAAAGGACACAGCGTTAAATGACTACCAAAATGCGCTTATATAGTAATCCAGGTTCAAGTACAAACAGGAATTGTGGAAAAAGAAAAATCTCATGAGGAAAACGCGCCCAAGCCATAATCCACAAAGAAGGAAAGAGAGAAAGAAAAGCATCCAATCAATAGCATATAACACTATACATAAGCTGACAAAAGTTAACATCTTACGGTAGGTATCAAATGGAGTAATTTACAAGATTTTTCTTCTTTTTTCTAGCCAGGTTTAGACTACTTTACTGTCTGGTTGGGGATTCATTGAAGTTAAAAGTTCTGTCTCAGCAGAATCCTCTACCGACGCCTTGTATTGTCAATCAGATTAATTAGGATAGCTAGAACTCGCATTTCCTTTTGATCAACTTATAATTCTGCAAGCCATTTCTATGAACATTTAACCAGAACCCAGAATAAAAGAACTTGTTCTTATAATTTTGGAATCCTTGGCCAACTGTTCTGGTTGGATAGGTCTGTGTTCAATTGCTCATCCAACACGGCAATCTTAATTCCATTCTTTGCAGAAATTGAAAATATTTTTGAATAATAGTTGTGGAATTCATGAAAGATTAATCTGTAGGAACAACATTTTTAAGGAAAAAGTGCTACTCACTTTTTATATTAAAATTTTCTCCTTCACAAATTAAAATAGCTCGGCTAATTTGTAAAATGTTCTTAATTTCTTATGCATTTATCATAGTATTGCGTTTAATGGCTGCTCTCTTCCTCCCACAATTACAACAACCTCGCCTTTTGCTTGAATGATCTGGTTGGAATTTTCAGCCTGTGCTTATTACGGCTGCACTGCATTTATATACATTCTTAACAATTCACAGCATCTTAACTTCGTCAACGATTCTTCATGTCCCGCTTAGATTTCACACGGCTAACTATGACAGATTCTTGCAAGACAAAATTGATGCCGTTGCTGTCTGTTTCTTCCGACTTTGCTTGCTGAGATTGGTCACAACAGATTTGATGCCATCCACCACACCGCTACTGCTTTAGATCTTTCAACTTTTTTTTGTTTTTAGGATCCTTCAGGGTTTTTAACTTAAGAGATGGGGTTGTTTTGATAATTATTATATTAATGAAGAATATTGCTCTATCTAGTAACTTGACTTTAGTAACCAACAACATTCGACAATTGTAGTAATTTACTTGTTGATTGAGATTGAAACATCAACTCTTTGACTCTTTCCTATACCCATTGTCGCAAAAGAGAAGAAACGAATTCTTTAAGGTGGGACCTTGGAATATAAGTCTATTTTTACCCTTCTTTTTAATTAATCAGCTTTCAAAGATAACACCAAGTATTTACTAAGCCGACTTAAAGTATAATCCAATAATTAAATTTTAGTCCTCATAATCTAATCAATATAACTCGTGACGGCTTACCATCTATTGTTGCAAATATCCAATTCATACACTTTGTTTGCAGGAATCAACACTTTCACATAAAACAAGCTCTTTTGTCATTTTTTTTAATACCTTCGGGGGAACTCAAAGCTTTTCCCTCAAAATCAAATTTAAGGATGCATTTCTATCGAGTCGAAATTTTACTTTAAAAATACTTTCTATAAAAATTAAATTCGAGTTAACAAGGAAATTTTTCTCCTTACCGATCACTCATGGTGTGTTTTGTAACCTTTAAATAATGATTTCATGATTATTTATTTACAAAAATTAATAATTAATAATGATGTCAAAACCCATGCGAAAAATGGATACAGCCATAGACTTAGCACGTCAACCGTCGGCTCTCTCTCAAGTTTCTGTTGGGCCTGACAAACAAAAAGAGCTTGGGCAATAGAGTTTGTTCATCTATAAATTCTTAATATGGACTTATGTATTTCTCAGTGTATTTGAGCATCTAAAAGGAATCAAAGTAACGAAGAAGCATGCTGGTATTAGTTCCTTGAAATGCCAAACTCAATATAAAACGCAATTGGCTGAGGAATGAAAGCACCATTGATTCATTAGAGATTGAAGCACAAGGATCATAATTTCTCTGACGTAGTTCATTATATGCTTAATTGGCATGTTACTTGCTGTATCATACAAGGGAGAAAGACAGGAGCAGAGAAGAAAACTGAAGTTGATGATACAAAAGTTCTAAGCAGAGAAAATAAATACGCTAGCAGGCAAGAGAGGTTATTCTTGGAAGGTCTGTACGTCAAGGCCATTTAGTGAAGTCCAAAACTTTGAAAACTATATCTGTGGGGATCTGCCAAATAAAATGTATAACATATACTGCATTCAATGCAATGTAAAGGCTCCTTGCAGTCTCGCTCGCTTTCTGCTTTGATGGTGCTAGCGCTGCAGCCGCAACCCATAACACTGTAATGGCTGTAAAACAAACACCAAGGCAGCAAGGTGGAGTCAGTTCCTACTAAATTTTAAATATTGAGGTTAGCTACATAAATTTTGAATTCCTATTTGTCATTATATATTTTGTGGAAGAGAACTCAGAATCAAAAAACTACCTGCTCCAGCAAACAAATGGGGGCCCGGGAAGAGCATTCCTGTCCTAAACCTTGTGTTGACACCTCCACCAACAGCCTCAAGAACCCCAAATCCTAGCAGCATGGATCCTGCATTGAAGTGTCTATACCTGTAAGACCCTTTCAGCAACTCCTTCCTCTCCTGAAGTTAAATGACAAATGACCAGATAGTATCAGGAGTTTGCACAGAAACCACATAGTATAGCACGAATCTCGACATGCTACAACTTACAGTAATTAGCTAACACTCACTTATAAGGCATAGCTTTGATACATCACCACCAAAAGAATTTTTGTTATTTTTGTCATGTAGAGTTATATGGTTCAGAGTTTGTTGTGAACATGTATTAAGGTTGGAAGTGTCTACCTATTGCCAATTGATTTTCGCCTTTTCGGTTGGATGCTTAACAATGTCGAAGTGTCAACTAATAGTCAACTGCATTTAAGGAGAAATCATTATGTATCACCAAGCACTCTCGTAAGGATTCAGTGACAGAATAGGGATATGAAATCTTGACATTATGCTTTAATAATGAGATTTGTGAGTTAAAACTATATAAAGTTATGTTGTAATGAAGCAAACCTCAGTGAGTAGATGAATCTTGAGTTCCCCCGAAGATGGAGCTGCTTCCACTGAGTTTCCCTTCTAGGGTAACTGGGATGGGCTTCACTTGTTTCTTGAGCTCATTAATGTCATTCTGGATGGTCCTGACTCGCCTCCATTGCCAACCCAAGTACAAAGCTAACAAAGGGTAAAAAAACAAACCACCCATGACAATCGGGTATGTAAGTGCAAAACTCATTCCCTCCAAAATCTCAAACGCCCCATTAACAGCAAGAGCATCCTGTTGTTCGTTGGGATATCACATTAATTGACCTCCCAAAAAAAATGCTACACTAAAATCGAAAACAAAGAATGAAGAAAATGAAGGAGTATCGTATTACCTTTGTGCCTAAGAAGAAGGGCAATGCAAGCATTGTACGGGGAAGAGAAGCTTATTTTAAGTGATGGATAGTTTCAGTGAAGAGATTGTGAGGTTTAATTGACTCATTGGAGATAATTTGCTTTGTGGGGTTTGAAAGAACTGGCAGTTTGGATTGCGGATGGTGGGCAATGTGGCTGCCATGCGCTCTTTGTCTTTAGAGAGGGGGGGAGCAGAGAGAGAGAGAGAGAGAAACGGGGACAAGGGACAGAACTGTCTAAGAGAAGAAAAGGAAAAAGAGATTTCAGGTGTGTTTTGCAGTGATGTGGTTCACTCTGTTTTGATTGGCCTTTGCTTGTAAAACGGGCCCTTGCAAAAAACTTTTCAGACAGAGTCCCGACACCCGACCGGGATACTAGTTGGGATGCACTTCACATGACAAGCGTGTGTCAACGTGGAACACTCTTAGAATCTTAAATTTTGAAGAAAAGTACGACATTTGAAATTTTGTTTGATTTCTATAATATTTCGTTTAGTAAATTATGTATATTGATCATAATCCCTTTAATAATTTATAAGTAATTTTTATTTTATTTAAAAAAAAATAAATGATGCATTTATAAAAGGAAATATTTATTTTTTAATTAAATATATGTAATTATCATATTTAATTACATATTATATCGTAACTAAACAAAAAATTTTCATAATTAAGTGAATATATGTACTTTTTAATGCCTATATTTTAAAAATATATATGTAATTCATAATATTGAATTTTGAAAGAAAATATGATATTTGAGATTTTTTTTTATTTTTAAAATATTTCATTTTCAAATTCATTCGTTTAATTAGTGAAATGTCAGTTTAATAAATTATGTATATTGAATAATATCTTTAACAATTTATAAGTAATTTTTTATTTTATTTTAAAAAATAAAAAAAATAAATGATGCATTTATCAAAGGAAATATTTAATTTTTTAAAATTATATATATGTAATTACGATATTTAATTACACATTATATTGTAATTGAAAAAAAAAATTCCTTTTCTTTTAATTTTTTAAAATTAAGGGTTTTATTTGAAATAACGCCGTAATTCCTTGAACATCGTAGAAGATGTAGCTTACAGCTTTAAATTAAATTTTTAAAAAATAATTTTTTTAAAATTTATTTTTTTATTCATAAAATTTAAAATCAAAATTTTAATTTTATTTATTATAATAATTATCACTTTTTTATTACATAAGCGGATAATCGAGATATTTTTTTATTTATTATAATAGTTGTCACTTGTTTATCGCATAAGCACTACTTTTTATACTATATCTCATTACCGTTTTCTTAACTAGTTTCCATATCAAATGTTCACCTGTCCCCGTGCCTCATTTCAGATTTTTTTAAACATGGGTAATTATGAGGTATGTTTAAAATAATGTCATTGTCGTAATAATTTTGGAGTTGTATGACGAATTTAAAAATGAAAATTAAAGAATGAAAAATAAAGTCGTCATCAAATTTTTTTAATTAAAAT